AATGACACAGAGAAAGCAGAGATGGGGACTGAACCTTGGGTGCCTGTGGTCCAGCCCCAGTGGGTGGAAGGGCCAAAGAAGATGGATGACCCTGTGAGTGCTTGACACTTGAGTATCTTGTCCTTTACAAGGGATGGGGGGGTCACTTCTTCCAAATCCAACAAATAAGGCAGCATGCATCCACTGGACATGCTTCCTATGGCTGTCAAAGCCAAGAGAAACATCTTAAAAATTAAACTAATGAGCTTAAATTGGCATCTCAAGCTCAGACAGTAACAGAAACAAGAGATACTACAAATGAAAGGTTAATCCATTATTGTGGAAGGCATTCAGAAGGGTTTACTGATTACAGCTTCAGATTACCCTAACCGTGTCTCTACTAATTTGAAAAATGATGAATCACTAAGTTCAAACAGGGCTCAGAAGAGTCAATTATACTAAGCTGTGATATCAAAAGCTCATATTTTCAACACTAAGGAATAAAACATGTTACGCCTAATAACAAACAGAAATGAGGCCTAATACCCACTCTCAGTTGCCCAAGTCATTAGCAGTAAGAATGTTTCTCTAATTTTTCAATATTTCTTTTCAGGATACATACTCCCTGCCCCCGAGGAATCCTAGTAGCCAAAGTTTATTAACACAAAATAGATTCACGGTAAATGAAATATTAGTCTGCAGTCAGCTGAATGCCCTTCAGATACCCTCAGTTTTCAGACCTTTCCTGTGCAAATAAAAAGAGCAGTTACTGGTCAAACTCAATTCCCAGACATCATCAGTACCATCATGTTCCTCATCATTACGATATTCATCATCTCTCTCTCTCATCTTTATCTTTTTTTCCTTTTAAAACAGAGAACTCTAAATCCACAAGAAGGTTTCATAAATATCTTTCCCTGGGCTCCAGTCCGGGCTGCTTCCATAAATGTGCTAGACACTTGTGTCTTCTGCTTGTCATTACAACCTCCCACATGGATTCACATAAACAGGAAGTATTTCACCACATGACTATGGCCACGTGTCAAGAGCTCCCAGAATCACTTGATTCTTTTTCTTCTGCATTACATCTTGCCCTCAACCACACCTAGAATCTTTTATGCATTGTAGGTGTTTAGAAAGTGCCTGTTCAATGACCTTACTTTCTGGGCCTTTTCCTAGACTCAGCCAACATGAGCTCTTAGACATGAGATTTTTGAAATCCTTCCCAAAGGTAGTTCTTAGGCATGGGTAAGTAGCTTGAAAAGCTGGAGGGAAGCAAACCCCTTGAAGCACTAGAAGAATCTGGAGGCCAATGATTCTAAATCAACCTTGAAGTAGTCAGGGATGAACCTCTTTTCTCAGCCCTTGTCGTAGGGTTGCATTGAGGATTTATTTTTCCCATGAAAAGTCCATATCTACCATCCTCCAGCAGCTACAAAGTTTCACCTCATATTTAGAAAAAGCTTCTGATTCAACACTGTAGTCTCTAGATAAACACATGGCTGCTGAGCCAACATCCTGCCCACCCACCAACACAGACTGACCATGGTCAGCCCTGACTTTGCACGTACTTTGATGGCCTTGCCCCCCGTCTTCACTGCCTCTCATTCCTTCTCATCTCTCATGCTCCCCATCACTCTTTTCTGGATCTCTCTCTCTTCTAAGTTCTTACGGTCTTGCATCAAATGCTTCAGGAGGCTGTGACCAGCCACCACCAGGATCAAAGAATATAGACTAAAGGATCATCAAACTGTTCCAAGTTCTCCAACAATTATGCCATGATCTTGGCTAAGTTACTCAAACTGTCAGCATTTTCTACATCTGGGGAATTATTGAAAAAGTTAAGTGAAATCAGTACATGACAAATGCCTCATTCAGGTGCAGGGCAATCGATGATTATTAATATTTCTGTTATTGTTTTGAATATTTAGGGTGGGAAATGTATAGCAGAAAGTGCCAATTTTCTTTAACATTTCTTGTGCAACATTAGAAGCACACAGAGAATACTGTGGGCTGTGGTTATAGGAATAAACAGAATATAACAGATTCTGCTACCTTTCCTACCTGTGACTGTCCCTAGATTTCATCTTTTTCAAATTTTCAGGATTTCAAGGCTCCAGTGGTTCCAATGCCTCCCCTTAGGGTAGTGACCTACAGACCAGACACTGCTTGTTTTGTGGCCTTGCTGCAGGCTCACAAGCAGCCAGGAGGACTCTGGTGCTCACACTGGGTTGGTTTCCAGGTTAGAAAAGTGATGGGCAGCAAGATATGCTGGCCTTGAAGGCAAGAGAAGAGTGAGTTGTTCCTTTTTCCTGTAAACCATTTGATTCCCTTAAATTTTTTATTGCATCAACATTTTGATATTAAGAGTGAAAATTGATGACTGAAGTTGTTTGATTTTTTTAAATTAAAAAAAAAGTCTGAATGTTCTCAGTCCACGCACAGGCATACTATTACACTGTTTAATCCCAGCAGCCATACAATTTTTGTGTTCTTGTTTTTTTCTCCTTCTACTTATTATGGCATATACATTTCAATGTCGCTGCTATTTCTCACTTTAAAGATGTTAACAGCTTTCCTATAAGGAAAAAAAAAACCCTAGAAATGCCAAAATGTTATACTCGAGTCACCTCGTGGTGATCCCTCTAGCTTCACTGAGGATTTTCAGTGCACACTGCCCTCTTTTTACACTGAGTCTGTCAAAGACTTCGATTAAGTGAAACGTGTGAAATTAAAAGCAACGTGCAGCTGGGCGCGGTGGCTCACCTGTAATCCCAGCACTCAGGAGGCTGAGGCAGGAGGATCTGAGAGTTCAAGGGCAGCCTGGGCTACAAACCCCATAGTGAGACCCTGCCTCAAAAAAAGACCAATAAATAAATAAATAAAATCAATGTGCATGCAGACCCAGAACTGCTCTGCCAGGGTACTGCATTTTAGGGTGGACCCGAATCATCTAGGAAGTGTGTTTACCATAGATTTCCTGGCACCCACCCCTCAGCAAATGTGAGTCCATGATTCTTGGGATGGTGCCCAGGAATCCACATTTTTAACAAAACACCAGACTCTTGACTTCTAGCAGTCCTGGATTTGAATTCTACCCCTGCCGTTTACTGTCTTTGTGACTGTGGTGAAGTCATTTATCCTCTGGATGGCTCCACTTCTAAACTGTAGAATGAGGTATAACAGACTCCAGCATGAGAAATTATTCAGAATGTTGAATAAGTTTTTACTGCAAGCATCATTGTTTTTCTCATTATTGCTATTGTCACTTTATGTATGAGCAATGTTTTAGGTACTTCAAGGGCCATGTTCCTGCTTCTCTTAACTTTTAGCTGGATGACAGCAAAGACTGCGTCATTCCTTCCTGAATTCTCAGTATCAGGCTGGCCTTGAACTTGCAGGGATCCTCCTGCCTCAGACTCCCAATGCTGGGATTACAGGCGGGTGCCACCACACCCAGATCTTTCTTTTTATTTTTAAAAAGTCTTTTATTTCTCACATCTATGCAGCAACCAAGTCAAGTATTAGGCATCATTCAGTGTCCAGCAGAAACCAAATGCTTAAATTTCTGTCCTTGGGGCTGAGGATTTAGCTCAGCAGCTCAAGCACTTGCCTGGCAAGCACAAGATCATGAATTCAATCCCCTGTACCAATAAATAAATAAACAAATAAATAGCTATCCTAACCTGGAGTTCCAGTTTCTCTTCTTTCCTCCACCACCAAATATTCCCACACCCTGGGACCTGAGAGTGCTCCTGTATGTAGCAGTGTGTATTTGCCCAAGAACTGTAAGTGTAGACTTTCCCCACTGAGCTTTTCTCTAATGGAGAGATGCAGGTCAAAAATCAACAAGAGTTCATTGAAAAGAAAGGTTTGTACTAGTGTTGTTCAGACAGTGAAATGCAGATATCTTGTACTCTGAGTAACTGATTTGAAGATAACAGTACCCAATGTATATATCGTTATCTCCTAAAAATTGTGTTTTGAAATTTTGTTTTGTTTTTCTTCTTAAAATAAAATAGATTTGAAAAAACAAAGAAGGAAAGAAAAAGAGAGAGATAAGAAAGAAAGAAAGAAAGAAAGAAAGAAAGAAAGAAAGAAAGAAAGAAAGAAAGAAAGAAAGAAAGTCATCAAAGCAGTGGCTGGAGATGTAGCTCAGTGGTCGAACACTTGCTCTGGGATGCAAAGGAAATCAGTAAAGAGCAGAGTCCTCTCCCTGCAGGCAATGAGTTCTTGGGGTGAAATAGAAACTAATGTTTGGAGGAAAAATACTACAGAAATTACTAAGTCACTAGATAAATTATAGAGAAAAATGACTATGTCTGATTTATCAGGACTATAGTCTCAAAGTACATTCATTTTCTTACAAATAAGCTGGGAATGTAGCTCAATGGTAGAGTACTTGCCCATTTTTCTACAAATGACTCGTATTCTTTTTATGACACAGCAGTACTCCACTGTGTATAAGTACATAGCTTTATTCATCTGTTGATGGACATATAAGCTACTTCCAAGATTTAGAGATTATAAGTTATGCTGCCATAAACCTGAGTATACATATATCACTGTGATATGATATTTCTATCTCTTTTGAGAAGATGCCTAGAAGGGCAATATCTGTGTCAAGTAGAACTTCAAGTTTTCATTTTTGGGGGGCATTTCCTTACTGATTGTTGGGAGCCGCGGCCAACACCGGTCGCCTTACTTGGCGGACGTAGGGCCTGTGGGTGGGAGCGGAGCCTGAGCTAGATTGCCCCTCCCATCGAGTGAGTCAAGTTGGCGCCTGCTTCCTGCCCCCTGATTGCGCTGGCGACTTAAACAACCCGCTCTGTAAGATAGTCTGCCTAGCAACAACTGATGTTAGCCAATCAGCCCGCATCGCGCGCTTTGAACTGATTGGCCACTGTTACCCTATAAAAGTAAATGCCTCTCCCGCCACGAGAGGAAGCACAGAGAAAGCACAGAGAGAGATAGAAAAAGTCCACCGGCGAGAAAGGGCTGGTGGCAGAGTGGAGGCCTCGCGGGGCCCACGTGGAGACAAATAAAGGCAAGGTTGCACACTGTCAGAATCTGTCGCGTGTTCTTCCTGCAGGCCAGGAGCGACATCGACATTTGGTGACCCGCACGGGGACTGATCAACCCCGAGACACGGCGGTGGTGTGCAACGCTCCAGCGTGGTGCTGCCGGACAGGTGAGTGGGGGATAAGCCTGGGCTCTGGGTGGCGCGCACCTACAGGGCTTTTAGACTCCCCTCAGGCTCACGCGTAGGTGACGGGTTCTTTAAGTCACACGCGGTGAGTTACAGCCCTTAGAGGTTGAGAATGGGTAATTTACCGAGCGCAGAGGCGCGGCCCTTGGTAAAGGCCCTTAAAAAGCTTTTAAAAGCTAGAGACCTCAGAGTAGGTCAAAAAACACTAGAACTATTCATAGCAGAGATAGATAGGGTGGCTCCCTGGTTTTTACCCACAGGGCATTTAAACCTGCCGTCATGGGAGAAGTTAGGCGGGGACCTCGCTTCGGCGGAATTGGAAGGGGATATTTCGCCGGCTATTCGCCCCCTGTGGGAAATGATACATGCGTGCCTTGACTCCTATGCCGAGTTGCGCCGCGAATTGTGTGCGTGCGCCGCTCGAAAAAAGCAGAGAGAGGAAAAAGGGCCCCCGAGCGCTCTCTGGCGGGGAGGAGATAGAGAGCCATCCGCTCCGCCCTGGAGCTCTTCTCCAGAAGCGGCTCCCCGCCGAGAGGCCGCTACAGGGAACCCTCCCTTCTCTCAGCCGGCACAGGAAGTGACGCCCCGTTCCACTCTGTCGCGACCGCCGTCTTATGACGCTGCGCCACGGGGCGGACGGTATTTTCATGGGCGGCTACTCTGCCGAGCAGGCTGAGAAAAACGCCGGTTGAGGAAACGGGGGCTGGGGATTTAGCTTAGCGGCATAAGCGCCTGCCTTGTAAGCAGGCAATCGCGAGTTCGATCCCTGGCACCGATAAAAAAAAAAAAAAAAAAAAAAAAACGAAAAAGACCAAAAATAAAAAAAAAAATAAAAAATAAAAAACAAAAAGGGGGAGTAAGCCAAGGCCTGCCTCCAAAGGCGCGGTTATCTATGGCATGACAATGGATGGGCCCGGATCCGGTGGTTAGCTGGAACCGAGGCGCGGTTTGTGTTTTTCTGCAGGAATCGGGACGAGAACCACTGTGGGTCCCAGAGAGGTTGCGACAAGTCCCTCGACTGAAGATCAGGCCTGTTCCACCAGAGGCCAACCGCAGACCCAACAACAAGATGAGCCCTAAAAGAACTGCAGGACAATCCCTTTTTGGGGAGCCTGGAATGGCTTGCTCCCCTATGTTTTACCATTGTTAGGTCCCCTGTGCTCCTTGCTTCTGCTCTTACTTATAGGACCACGCTTACTCCGATGGGTCACATCATTTATTAATGGGCGCCTTGCGGCGGCCCGGCGTCAAGTACGCCTGGTTGCCCATGCGGCCCTGGCAGCAGCCCGTGATGGGCACAATGACCCCCAGGCCTACGCATGGCTCGCTCGACTGGCCTACGACCGGGTCTAGGTGTGGCGGGTCTTCCGCACTCCTTCCCTATTGACACCACACAGCAGGGTGGGTGAGTCAATGACGGGTAAGAGCGTGCCTCCCCAGCACGACTCGACCTAAGCCAGGCCCCACCCCACACTGCACGAAAGCCGCTGGATTACTAGAATCTGCCCAGATCTAGATGCCTCTCCGAGGGGATCACACGGAGGGGCATGAGTGCATGCCTATGTGCATCCAGGTTCCGTCCAGTTCACTCCTGGCCCTGGAAAAAGGACGAGGGTCTCAAGGCCTTGGCGGACCCAGGGGCGGCCGACCAGGGTCCAAGCCAAGGGCCTACGGTGGGCCTCAACACAGGGCATAAGCCTCTGCACTCGATCCAGGGCGGGCTGCGATGACATTCATTCAAAGTAAATAAATTAGGGGGAGATGTTGGGAGCCGCGGCCAACACCGGTCGCCTTACTTGGCGGACGTAGGGCCTGTGGGTGGGAGCGGAGCCTGAGCTAGATTGCCCCTCCCATCGAGTGAGTCAAGTTGGCGCCTGCTTCCTGCCCCCTGATTGCGCTGGCGACTTAAACAACCCGCTCTGTAAGATAGTCTGCCTAGCAACAACTGATGTTAGCCAATCAGCCCGCATCACGCGCTTTGAACTGATTGGCCACTGTTACCCTATAAAAGTAAATGCCTCTCCCGCCACAAGGGAGAAGCACAGAGAAAGCACAGAGAGAGATAGAGAAAGTCCACCGGCGAGAAAGGGCTGGTGGCAGAGAGGAGGCCTCGCGGGGCCCACGCGGAGATAAATAAAGGCAAGGTTGCACACCGCCAGACTTTGTCGTGTGTCTTTCCTGCCGGCCGGGAGCGACCTCGACAACTGATTTCCACAGCAGCTGTATTAATATACATTCCCAACAAAAATGAAAGGTTTTTTCCCTCAAAGCTTAACCAGCATTTGTTATTGTTTAATTTCCTTATAATAGCTATTCTTTCTAGAGTAAAATAGAATCTCAGCACTGGAAAACTAAGTACAAAATGGAAGGAAATGAAAAAATAACACGAGGTAGTTTTAATTGGATAGATTTTGGGAAAGATTCTAAATTCTCTCCTGAAGATTTTATATGCAAGCTCCCCAGTTTGGAAGTGCTTTGAGTTTTAAGGAGACTTAGGGAGGATGTAGGGGAGTTGCTAATAGCAATATTTTTTTATTTACTAGCACCTTGTTATAGTTAATTAGTAATGACAAAAGAGAATAGAATATATTTGTAAATTAAGTCATTGAATAAAACAGTAAAACAGATTTTTAAAAGGTACTACTTTCCAAAGACTTTTCTGGGGAGAGCTCTTTGTCCCACGTCTCTCTGGAGTTTTTTTCATTTTTAGATTTCATATCCATGAATACACAAAACATGATCATTTTATAAACAAACCAAACTGCACAAAATAAACCTTTTGTTCCTAAACTGAATGAGTTGGGATTTATAAATGGCGCTTTTAACAAGTATAACATGAATAACTGCTTCCTACAATTCCCTCATTCTCTTCTCTCCTTGCCCTCAAAAAAATAGATTCCCTTTCTCACTATGATTTAAGTTATTTAAATGAATCTCCTATCTTGGGAAAAGGCTCAGTGCAAAGTATTGCGCTACATGTCAGATATTTGGATTTGGCCCTGTGCTCAGTACATGATCAATAAAATTGGGTCCATTATATTTGAGTGCCTAGTGAAAGAGAGGAAAATGTCCCACTATGGCATCTGGAGGTCCCAGGCTGTCTTCACAAAGTCTTAGCTCTAGGGTGCCTATGTGCCACCCAGGAGCAGTTAAAGTCTTCTCAAGGGGACTCACGCCCCCAGAATGTTCTTTCCCTCCTGATCAGAGACAGAGGGAAGTGTGTGCTGCCATTTGCTCAGTCAGGCATTTTCCTGAGGCTGTGGGTGGACTGGGATCACAGATGAAAGTGATGGCAGAAGTCTTTAAAGAGTAGTCTACCCTAGCCGTCCATTTACAGGGACAGGAGATGCTCTTGTAACAGCCAAGAACATCATTAGCATTTCACTTCCCCTCCTAACTACCTACCTGCAGTGCTTATGTTCATTTTGACCCAATCAGGGCACAGCAATAGTTTCCGGGCCAAAGGGATGATGTGCAAGGTGGTTCACTTCCCAGGCCAGATTGGATACATGGAGACAGCATGGTCTAGTGACCTAAGCAATGGCCTGGAAAGTGCAGACTAATTATGCCCTGTCCAGCATCAAGCTTGCTGCGTAATACAAGGTGAACCATGTACCTTCCCTGAACCCTGGTCTTGCCTTGTACACCACATGGTAGAAATAGCTGGAATGAAAGAACAACCAACTGACACCACTTGTGTCTCAGTTTCCTTTCTATAAAATGGGAATGACTGTGTGTGGCAACGATTTTTTCTTCTTTCTTTTTTTTTTTTTTTTTTTTTTTTTTTTTTTTTGCCTCACAGAGTCAGTGTAAACTTCAGTAATGTGTGGAGTGCTGAAAAAAATTGGTCCTTCCTAGTGTCATTCTTAGTCATCGGGTAAAACTGGAACTCCACCCAGGTTTGCTGACTACCTTTCCAAGACCTATGAAAAGCTAAGTTCTTTTTTCTTTCCATGAATAACTAATAATCTTGAACCTGAACTACTGTGGTTTTGTGACACAATTCAAGCATGTCCTAGTACTAAGTCTAGAAAAATCCCTAAACCAGCTCTTTGTTGGGGCATTTTGTCAGTTCTTAGGTCAAAAATCAAGAAAGCATGGTGTAATCTTTTTATCCAGAGCTTGTGAAGCCAGCCACACTTCTGTTTCAAGTTCTCAAAGGAATAGAAAGTTTCTGTTGGAGGATTAGACACAGAATGGCCAGGCAGCTTCCCTGCACACTGAATCACACTCGGCCCTCCCTCATTATATCCCTAGTTAATTCTCCAGTAATTGGGGAGTGATGGTCTTTGCAAATGTCAGTTTTACCACAGTGTATTTACTTCTGGGTGGATTAGCGTGAATGTGTCTATTGTATTGGATCGCCAATTTTGTGGGAGTGATTTGAAAGACTGCAGAATAAACTACTATTTAACTTGGGGAAATGGGAAGAAAAAAATGACCGTGTTTTATATTTTGCTCCCTTTGGTTTATATTTGCATGAAATCTTCATAACCACAGACCGCTGGAATCCTGAGTATAATGATAACATTGGTACTGAGAGGTTTGGAGCTGGCTGGAAGGTGGAGCTTGTGTAGGAGGCAATTTCTCCACGTAGATGTAAAGCAGAAGAAATATTTATTAGCAGAAATTACATCTGGAGATTAGAAAAAGTAAGCTTTTTTTTTAGGAACCTGTTCACAATGTAAGCCCAAAGTACTCAGCTAACTTGGTTGCCATGTAAAAGACAGTCCCTTCTGTGGACCCACTTGCAAACCTCCTTTATTCTATAGAACATTTGCTTGTCACTCATTTTCTTCTTGTTGGGGACCATGATGCAACTGAATTGTCTAAACAAATCAGCTATCTCCAAACTGACAAAATAAGCCCATCTTTTTTCTGAAATCACCAGAATCAGGGTAAGAGCATTTAAAAGGCCAACAGGAAGAGATACAAGTCGTCTCGTGGCAGTGGTGCTAAGTATAATGACCATTTGTGCATGGACAGCAGTAGATAACAAGTCTAAGAAATTGCTCTCATCTCCACTTGGCTCCCATATATATCCCTTTCCAACATGTTTTCTGGGTCCCTTTGTCTCCTGGATATATGGCTAATAACCTCGATGATGATCCCAAAGGTATTTTTGCATTAATCCCTCCTACGATACGCATAGACCCTTAAACACCAAAATGGGGCCACCCTAATCACACCACACAGCACATGAATTCTGAGTTCAGTCTATTGAGGACACCTGGATTCCAACTGGTCGCCCCAAAAATAGGACAGCACAAGTAGCTAAGCCGCAGGGCTCATAAGTTCTTAATACAGAATCTAAATAACGAGTGTCTGTTATACTGCTTGTTCTGTTTGTTTGTTTTCCCAAAGAAGGAAAGGGAAAGGATGCATGAGCTGCTCGGTGGTAGGGTACACTTGCCTAGCATGCATAAGACTGTCGGTTCAATCCTCAGGACTGAAAATTTAAAAAACAGAAGAAAATGAAAAAACACAATAACTGGTCCAGAAAAACAAGAAATTTTTTCAAAAGCTTCAAAGAGTTTGAGCAAATATTTATTTTGGTGGTCTTTAGTTACCCAGTCTGAAAATGAGTAGTCTGAATCAGATCCACTTTTAATCTCTATGATTCTGCTTTCAGAATGTCCATTTATTATTAGCTATTTGTTCCTTATGACCATATATATTCATTATATAGTTATAACAAACAAAAAAATCAGGTACTGTTTTATTAATCTGAGGTAACTGAGTTTGAAAATAAATATATACTCAGTCACAAATATTCAAAAATTAGTCTATGCCAAACACATTGAAATTTTTTTTTTTTTTTTGAGACAGAGTCTTGCTATATAATTCAGCCTGGCCTTGAACTCACTTTATAGTCCAGGCTGGCCTTGAATTTGCAGCAATTCTCCTGCCTGCACCTCCCAAACACTGGGATTATAGGCATGTGCTACCATATCTGGCCACCAAATATATTAAAATAATTAAATATTTAAAATACATTAAAACAAGCTTATATCAATTTTTTTTCCTGAAAGGTAAAACTAAGTTAGTGTATCTGTGTGTGTGTGTTTCTTGCTGCTGGAGCATATTGGGCCTTTTTTCTTTTTCTTTCACTCTTCACCAATTGCTTTAGGCCTAGATACAAATTAATAGTGAGATGACGATATCTTTGGCCATCAGGAAGTGTAGAACTTCAAAGGAGTAGTAAAACTCATGCAAAACTGCCCTCTCATTTTACCAATGGGCAAGTTGAGGCAGAAAGAGTCTGAGTGACTATCAAATAAAAGTCATAATATTGCAGGATGGTAGAGGCAGGGCTAGAACAAAGTCTCCCACCTCTTGTGTGAAGATCATCTGCACTATTTCATTGTTCCTGGGGATTTTTTTTTTCCAGTACTGGGGATTGAATCTGAAGCCTTCAAACTGAACTACATCCCTAACTCTTTATATTGTTTTATTTTGAGACAAGGTCCAGTGAGTTTATGCAGACTCAGCTCAAACTTTCAATCCTCCAGCTTCCCAAGTGTTGGGATTATGAGTGTGTGCCACCACTGCATAGCTAGAGATTCTTCTTTAGATCAAAACAAGCAGTGTTGAAATAATCTCTTTTTTCTGGTTGAATGTTAGTTAACAAGAAAACCGAAATTAATCCGCTTTTCCGGTTTAATAAGGATCTCAGCCGCCCATACGCCAACCTCAGAATGCATCATTAGTAGCCTGCAGGAAGAGCAGCCATGAAACATATGAATGAATCACGGACAATAAATGGTGTTTAGGAGAAAAGTACCTGAGCATAAGTCCTTCATACCTTCACTGTGACGTTAGACAAACATTAGAGCTGTAGCTTTCCCTTAATTCACTGTATTTCCTTCCATTTTTGCCCCCAAACGAAGAGCTAGAAATGCCAAGGAACAATGTCAGATATTTAATCAATATTTGTTGACTGATTGAACTTGTTCCAGTCGAAGGCACTGATTTTCCTGGTGTTCTTGTTTACGCGGAGATGGAGAAACAGCACCCACCCACGCCTGTCTCACAGACAGGCCAAGAGAGTGAAGGAGACAATGGGATCAGTTCGCTGGGAGAAAAGTACTAACTGTATCTCATTAATAGTAACCATCAAGCCAGAGCACCACGTCCCCAAGAGGCTGCTTCTTGGT